GCACTTTGGGAGGCCGAGGTGAGAGGATTACCTGAGCCCACAGGTTCGAGACCAGCCTGGACAACTTGGCAAGACCTCATCTCTACAATAAATAAATAAAAAAAGCTAGTTGGGCATGATGGCCCATGCCTGTAGCTCCAACTACTTGAAAGGCTGAGGCGGAAGGATCACATGAGCCCAGCAGGTCGAGGCTTGGTGTTCATGGGCAACAGAGTGAGACTTAGACTCAAAAAAACAAAAAAGAAAAAGAAATCGGAGTCTCACTCTGTTGCTCACAGTCACTGCAGCCTTGAGCTGCTGGATTTAGGCGATCCTTCCACCTCAACCTTCTAAGTAGCTGAAACTTCAGGCATGTACCAACACGCCTAGCTAATTTTTTGATTTATTGTAGAGATGAGGTCTTGCCAAGATGCCCAGGCTGGTCTCAAATCCATGGGCTCAGGTAATCCTCTTACCTCCGTCTCCTAAAGTGCTCGGATTGCAGGTGTGAGCCACCATGTCCGACCTGTACAGAACATGCAGGGGCAAGCCATTCCTGCCTGGTGTACTGTGAGATGGATGGAGCCCAGCTTTGGGTCCTATTGGGTGTACTGGACACCATTTCGCAGACTGCCAAGATCAGAGGTAGGGTCCTGTTGACTTTCTGGCTGATGCCACCAGGAGTTCTCTTTGGCAATGGCCAGACCCAGGGGAGTTTCTGAATTGAGTCTATGGTGCTAACCCTAAGTGTATAGATTAGTGCCTGGCAGGAGTCTTATAACCTGTCTAATCAAGGGTGCAGCGTGTCTCTAAGTAGTCAATCTATTTTTAATCTCACCCAAGGGAGTTTATTTTAAGATACATTACAGGTATCCTAGCATCTTCACAACATTTCTGCAATGCTTAAAAGATAACAAATTCCCCAATCTGAAAAGGATAGGGATTTTTTTCTTTGGAGGCATAGTGGTTTAGTCCATGGACTCAAGACAGCTTTTGTTCAAATTGTGGCTCTGACAATTACTAGTTGGGTGACCTTGGCCAAGTTACTTTATTTTTCTGTGCCTCAGTTTCTTTGTCTGTAAACGGAGGCTAATGAGATTACCTACTTCCTAATGTTGTTTTGATGATTGAAAGAGCTGATAAATATATGTAAAATTGATACAATGTTTAGAAGAATGCCTGGCATGCAGCAAGTGGGCAACTGTGTAAACCTCCTGAAAAATATTGGCATGTTCACATTGCCTTTTGGTAAAGGTCACCAAAAGCTCTCAGTGTCCTTCAAATCTTTTTCTCCAGCCTCTCTCCTGCATCTCCCATTGCCTCTGAAGGCTTTCTCTTTCTTTGCATTTTATATTTCTTCCTCTTGGCCTATTCTCTCTGTTCCTTCACCTTCTATTCTTGGCAAGCTCCTGGAAGGTTGAGGACATATTCTACTCATCCTGTTCTATGTTTTTTTTTTGAAAATGGAATTAATTTCCCAAATTGACAAACCTGGAAATTTCTTATAAAAACCCAGAATTTGAAATTATCTTGGAAGAGTCCTAAGGCATGATAATGTCAGGGTTCACATTTCTGCATGGCACTAGAAACTGGAGGTGAGGAGGTCTCCTTTTGTTGAAATGTGTATTCTTCAACTTGCCACAGTCTCCACCATTCCTTATTGTCTCAGACTGGTTGTTTCACCCATATACACTCTTGGCCGAGTTTTTGCAGATATTTGAGTTTGGGGCCCCTGCTTTAAGACCCCTGAAGATTTTCTGATTGACTGTCCCTTCAGATAATGGATTCCAGCTTTGTAAGCCCTTTTCCTTAGAAACGGCCAAGACTCACTTCCTGATTTTGCTCTGTCTCACTCTGGCCTAACTTTAGGTGGCCTCCCCACTCTTGGGGGTGGTGGAAAGAGTGTGTATTTAACAAAAAATCTTATCTTGTGCATCCTCTCCTCCTCCCTGGCTAGGAAGATGGGATGGGAGGGGGTGAGATTCTGGAGAGGAGACCAGACAGGGCAAAGTGAGCTTCTGGGACACCATGCCCACGGCATCCACCAGGGGCTGCCTCTTTCTCTGCTTCCTTCTCCTGCTCAACTTCCTGACCCCGTGTGTTCTTATAGAAACCTCCTGGTCCATGGAGGGCAGTAAGAACCAGACAGAAATGCATCTCTGTCCTCAACACATAGTGACCCATACACTCAGTCCTCTGTCTGTGGACTTCTCTTTTCACTCACTCCCCAATTCATCCACCCATATACTCACTCACCAGTCATTTAACGATCACCTATGACATATCAGGCACTGCGTCATATGCATGTTTGGAGAAGAACCACAGCAAACAACCTACTGTGATAAAGTTCCCCCTTATGGCCGGGTGCAGTGGGGTGAGGTGGAAAGATTCCGTACTCTGAGCCCAGGAGTTCAAGACCAGCCTGGGCAACATAATGAGGCCCTTCCTGGAAAGGAAAAAAAATTCCCCCTTTTGACCTTGGACAAGACTTTGTCAGGCCTCAGTTTCCCCATAGATGTGATGGGTGATTAGAGATCATGTTGTCCTGGGTTTCTTTCCTTCTGTGACTCTCAACCTTCTAAAACTTCCTATAGCATCTGCAATCTGCAGACTGCCCGCTGAGTATGAATTCTATGTTCCTGTCTGCAAATCACAAAAGTTCTCAGAGGGAGGGTCAGTCAAAGCCTAGGCGTAGGGAAAGATAAAGGGAGGAAGAGTAGGAGCTGGGGGATCCTCCTGTCGGTCGTTCTGGGTGGGGGTTGGGAGCGCAGAGGGGAGCGACCACCCCTGCCACCCCCAGGAGGGCCTGCCAGAGGCTCAGACCATCCTGCGAAATCTCACACCCTCCTCGCTCTCTACCAGCCCTGGCTCCAGCTCAGGCTGGATTTCAATCTGCATAATGTGTCCCATTTAGATGGGGTGGGAGGGGGTGAGAACAGGAGGGTGGAAGGGACAGGGGGGGGCTGCCCCAAAGGGCAGGCGTGAGGAGGTGACCAGAGGAAACGGGAGGGAGGGATGGCGGCTGCGGTGAAGGTGGGTGGCAGCCAGAGGGAGGAGGCGGGGCCAGGAGGAGAGCAGACCACAGATAACTGGCCTGCCCAGCACGGCAGGGGTCAATTTGGTCCACTTGCCCGGTGACAAGGAGATGGAGAAAAAAAAGTGGGCTGTAACTTAAAGATCTTAAGACTCACAAGAGAGGGGCTGGTCTGGAGGTGGGAGGAGGGAGGAGCAAGGGGATTGTGGGGGGGGAACTGAGGAAGTGTCCTGGCTGGGACAGAAGCAGGGCAGGAGAGGGTGGACAAGTGACTGCAGGGCAGAGGTATCCTCCAGGCTCTGGCGGGTCCAGAGACGACTCCCACTGAGTGCTGGGAAGGGCTCCGGCCCCTTCAGCCCTCTTGCCCCCCCGAGGCTCCAGCCAGAAGTTTAAGGTGCTTGCAGAGCTGGTGACAGCCACAGAGCTGGTGCCCCGGGGACCCCCTGCCCGTCTTCTCTCCCCAGCATGGAGGAAGGTGGTGATTTCTACAACTACTATGGGACCGACAACCAGTCTGAGTGTGAGTACACGGACTGGAAATCCTCAGGGGACCTCATCCCGGCCATCTACATGCTGGTCTTCCTCCTGGGCACCACGGGCAATGGTCTGGTGCTCTGGACCGTGTTCCGAACCAGCCGGGAGAAGAGGCGCTCAGCTGACATCTTCATCGCCAGCCTGGCGGTGGCTGACCTGACCTTTGTGGTGACGCTGCCCCTGTGGGCCACCTACACGTACCGGGGGTACGACTGGCCTTTCGGGACCTTCTCCTGCAAGCTCAGCAGTTATCTCGTCTTCGTCAACATGTATGCCAGCGTCTTCTGCCTCACCGGCCTCAGCTTCGACCGCTACCTGGCCATCGTGAGGCCAGTGGCCAACGCCCGGCTGAGGCTGCGGGTCAGCGGGGCCGTGGCCACGGCGGTCCTGTGGGTGCTGGCCGCCCTCCTGGCCATGCCCGTCATGGTGTTCCGCTCCACGGGGGAGCTGGATAACAACACCAAGGTGCAGTGCTACATGGACTACTCCGTGGTGGCGACCTCGAGCTCCGAGTGGGCCTGGGAGGTGGGCCTGGGGGTCTCGTCCACCGCCGTGGGCTTCGTGGTGCCCTTCGCCGTCATGCTCACCTGCTACTTCTTCATCGCCCAGACCATCGCCGGCCACTTCCGCAAGGAGCGCATCGAGGGGCTGCGGAAACGCCGCCGTCTGCTGAGCATCATCGTGGTGCTGGTGGTGACCTTCGCCTTGTGCTGGACGCCCTACCACCTGGTCAAGACACTCTACATGCTGGGCAGCCTGCTGCACTGGCCCTGCGACTTCGACATCTTCCTCATGAATGTCTTCCCCTACTGCACCTGCGTCAGCTACGTCAACAGCTGCCTTAACCCCTTCCTCTATGCTTTCTTCGACCCCCGCTTCCGCCAAGCCTGCACCTCCATGCTCTGCTGCGGCCAGGCCCAGTGCGGGGCCACCCCCCACAGCAGCAGCGGGGAGAAGTCGGCCAGCTACTCCTCGGGCCACAGCCAGGGGCCCAGCCCCAACATGGGCAAGGGTGGGGAGCAGATGCATGAGAAATCCATTCCCTACAGCCAGGAGACCCTCGTGGTTGACTAGGGCTGGGAGCGGAGAGAAGCCTGGCGCCCTCGGCTCCCCGCAGCCTCTGCCTTTGCTTTCAGAAAATCAGGTAGTGTGCCGGCACCCTCACCCCTGCAAGCGGCTCCCTTCCCAGCCCCCCTCCCCACCCTGTCCACCTCTGGTTCCTTTATTCTTTCTCAGAGGTTTTGTGGCTTAGTGGAAAGGGACCAAGCCCTGCAGACCTGACGTCACAGGAGCCTCTTAACCTGGCTGAGCCTCAGTTTCTCTTTTGGTATAAAATGGGGGAAAGTCATACTGACCCTACAAGGCTGAGCCTGACTCAGTAAAAGTTTGTTTCCCTCCAGTCCTTTCTTAGCTCACCAGTCCTCTTTTCTCCCTGCTTTTTATTTTTCTTCTCTCTGCAGCTATGACTCCTAATTCCTATCTTCTGGCTCCAGCCCCCTCCTGCAGCTCTGCCCTCTGCCTAAATCCCTCCTTCTCCCGTCCTTCTCCTTGTTCCGAAGGGCCCCAGAGGGTTAAGGATCCTGAAGCTTGCAAAGACTGACTCTGTCCAAGCTCTCTTTATCCTGATTTCCAAGCTGAGGCAGGGAATGGGCTGGGGCGGGGTTGAGCTGTGTGTCATTAGAGCTCCAGAACTTCCCCTGAAATTGAATGAGTTCACTGTCATTTTGGGCACTGGGCTAGCATGTGTTCCCCGGGGAGCCTGCTTTTCTGCAGCCCCACGGTGATGCTGACTAAATATGCTTTCTCCAAATTCCTTCAGGCCCTTTCCTTCTTCCCCTGTTTTCTGTGGGAATTGGAAGGCAACGGGGCTGATTGGTTTCATTATGCAGGGCCAGCGGGGAGTGAGGGAGGGGTGTCTGCATTTAGTCTAGACACTGCTTGGCTCTGCTCTGCAAGCCATCACGTCTCCAACCCCCTGCAGCACTGTGGGTCCTGGGGGAGGGTCTTTCCCTGTCTTCCTATCTCATCCCATCATCCCTGATGTGCTCTTGGGCACCGGTGCATTTGGTGCCAAGAGTCAGTCTGGCTGGACTGGAGGTGCTGCTCCGTGTGTGTGTGTATGTGTGTGTGTGTGTGTGTATGTGTGTGTGTGTGTGTGTGTGTGTGTGTGTGTGTGTGTGTGTCCATGTATCTGTGTGGTTGAGTGGTTGTCACTTGGACAACCCCCCTCACCCCATCTGTCCGTGGCATCTCTGCTCTTCAAACATTACCCTTAAGGAAGTAAGGGCACACCCAAGCAATACAGAATGAAAATAAGTCCACCCCCATCCCCACCCCCACTGGATTTGGGGGCTCTGACGGCTGGTCCGTGCTTCAAGTTTGCGCCAGGCTCCCTGTAGGGAGATCTCTTCCCAGAGCACCAAGGCTTGGGGGTGTCCTGCCAAGCTAGTCCCTGTTCCTTTTCTAGCTCCGGAGATGGGGCGGGGGTGCGGGGGACAGGCTGGTTAAGAGTCTCCTTTGGCCGCTTTCCCATGCTTTCCACCCTGCTTTGAGTTTCTGGGTGTTTCCCTCATCACTCTCCCTTGTCCAGGGTCAGTGGCCCTCTTCTTAAAAAGGCCTCCTGCTTGCCTTGGGATGAAAGGCACTGGGTGGGTTTTTTCTCTGCTCACCCTCGGGATTGGACCTCTTGGCTGCTTCTGGTTTGGGAGGACTGGGAATGACACTGGAGCAGCCATGGAAGGGCTAGCAGCATGGCGTCTACACTGTCAGAGAGGCCATGAAGATGAACTTCATCATGGGGCCTTTGTGAGCTGGGGGTGGGGGTGTATATTCCGGGTTTTGTTCTTGGAGGACTCTGGAAGCAAAGGACAAGACATGAGCAATGGAGACAGGAAGAACCCAGCTTGATGTGAATGGACATCTTGACCCTTACTGGGCCAGAGCCAGATCTGTAGCAGAGGGAGGGGCAGATGGAAAGGGGCCCCTCGCAGCCTAGTCTTCAAGTCTCAGGCCGACATCTTCCACAGAGCCATTGTTTCTGCCCAGGGCTGTCCTCAGAGCAGCCCATCAAGGCTAGAGGAGATTCTAGAAGGGAGGAGGGTGTCCCTCCGAGGCCCCCCTGGGTGACTTGCACAGACTTCCTGCCCAGAACTGTCCGTGGTCTGGTACAGAAGGAGGAGGAGGTTGCTTGCCTGTTGTGACACTCCCTCAACCCCTCAGCCCCTTCTCCAGAATGTCTGCGCTATCTTCTGACCCTGTAGTCGCTGCGATTCATCAAATAAAACTGTTTTGTGTAACTGTCGTGTCCAAGACCTCTCTCACTAAAGTGTCTTGGGATAAGGGAAGAGCCCCAGGCTTGCAGATGTTTCAGTAGGAGGTGGGGCTAGAGCGGTGAGGGTGGGGCCAAGGTGGAAAGAGAAGTCAGAAGGAGGGGGTGGAGAGGGAAACTGGTAACAGAGGCAGGGTTGTGAGGTGAGAAGGGAGACACCAGGAAAGAAGGAGGGTGGGACTTAGGGGCAGAGAGGAGAGGGCGTAAAGGAACAAAGGGAGCTGCTGAGTGTTGTGCTTTGAAAAGTCATCGAACACATGGGCACACATTTGGAAGATCAGAGTATAGGTCTTCCCATGGAGGTAGATCTGTCATTTGTCTACCTGTCATCCACCCACCCATCCACCCATCCATCCATCCATCTATCCATCCACCCATCATCTATCCATCCACCCATCCACCCACCCACCCACCGATTATCCATCATCCATCCATCCATTCATTTATTATATCTTATTAATTAGTTGACTCATTCATTTAGTATCACTTGAGTAGCCACCCCATTTAGACCAGAAACTTGAATCTCTGTTTTCTAATCAGTCATTCTGGATCTGGATGCTTTTGAAACTACCCGTTCCCGGGTGCACCCCAGACCCGTGAAATCTGAATCTCATGGACTTACCCCAGATGATCACGATGTCTAATAGCTGTTCAGATGACTTCTGGGGAAATTCAGGCTTAGGGAATCTCCATCCAGATAGATTCTGTCCACGTTATAGTGGGCACAGAAGACCAGAGAGTCAGAATCAGAGCACCCTGGGCTCCAGATGGTCATCTGTGAGGAGGAAAAAGGGACAGAAATGGTCCTAGTTTGGGGGACACTCAATCCAGAGGCATTTATCATCTTCAGCAAAGAGCTCCTGGTTATTAACAATATTTGCAGATGACCCAGAAGCAATCACCATAGTAGAGCTGAAGGTAATGAGAGAGAGCTCACAATTATGGAGTTTTATCACAGTGCTAAGACTTACCCAAGCCTTATCTCATTTATTCCTTGTAACTGTCCTCCAAGAGGGGCATTTTCATCTCATTTTGCTGTAAGGAAGCTGAGGCTCAGAGAGATGAGTTAGGACTCTTGACCAAGGTTGCATGGCTAGCAGGTGGACAAGCCAGAGACCTGGAACCAGCTGGGTCTGTCCAACTCCAAAGTCCAAAGTTCATGCTTTTGATCATGGCCTAAGGTGTTTCTTCCAAAGTACAAATGAGGCAGGCCACATGGCTAGGAGGAAAGGTGATATCTCACCTGTGAGACACTATACACATGGAGTGTGCTCAGTGCACGGGGGCAGAGTGCGATAGGACGGGAGAAGAAGGGGAGAGAACACACAAGAGACAGGGTGGGAAGAACAGAGAGAGAGGAGAGAAAAGGAAGAGAGAGAGAGAAACAGAGGCAGGGATAGTGAAAGAGAGAGATAGAGACAGAGATAGAGGGAAGGGACAGAGAGGGAGGAGAGAGACGAGAAAGAGGAAAAAAAGGAAAAAAAGAGGAGAAGAGAGACAGAAAGAAGGAAGAGAGAGAGAAACAGAGGCAGAGATAGTGAAAGAGATAGAGGGTGAAAGATAGAGACAGAGAGGAGGCAGAGGAGAAAGAACAAAGGGAGAGAAAAGTAGAAGAGAGAGTGAGAAAAGAGAAGAGAGATAGAAAGAGAGGACGAGAGAGAAAGAGACAGAGACAGAGGCAGAAGGCAGGTGAGAGAGAGGAGGTAGAAGAGAGAGAGAGAGACAGGAGGAGGGAGGGGAGAGAGAGAGAAGGGGGAGAGAAGAGAGGAAAGAGAAGGAGAGAGAGAGAGAGAGAAACAGATAGTAACAGGGGAGGAAGAGACAGAGGGACATTGAGGAAGAAAGAAACAGACTGAGAGAGACAGTGAAAGAAAGAGACAGTAACACACACATGGAGCGAGGAGAGAGAAACAGAGACAAAGAGGCAGAGACAGAGACAGAGGTTTGAAAGAGAAAAACAGAGGCAAAGACAGGGACAGAGACAAGAAGTGAGATGAGAGAAAGAATTAGAGGCAGAGAGAGTAAGAAACTGGGAAGAAACTGGGAAGAAGAAACTGGGAGGCAGAGTGGGAAACAAAGCCTAGGAACTCAGGGTCTGTTTTTCTTCTTCTGAGACACACGGGAAAGTTCTTCAGGAATTTACAATGAGAACAACAAGCTATTGTAGATATTACTATTATAATTGTTATAGGTGCTGTAAAAACACACACACACACACACTCTCCTAGGATGTTTGAGGTAAGTTCTCCCCAAAATGATAAGATTCTAAACTTCTCCTGGCTGGGACCGCTTTTAACGATTCACTTGTTCACACTATTCTTCACTTCTTCATTTACTCATTCACCTGCTCATCCCACAAGTCCTTATTTACTATTTAATGTGCCAAGCACTATGCCAGACATGGGGTAAACAGTGGGTGAGACCCTGTGGGCTTGCCATCCGCTGGGCAGGCAGACAGTTGACGTGTGAGTATAGGTTGGGGGGCATGTGGCTTCCTGGAGAGGGCATGTACAGGGTGTCTTGAGGGCCTGGGATGGAAACAATAAAATGAGTCTAGCAGGGTGTCAGGGGAGACTTTACAGCCCTTGTGCCACCAGGAGACTGCTCTGATGTGTGGAGCATGAGTGGTTAGTGGAAAAAGTGTTCTGGGCAGAGGACATGCTCAGAGTACTGCCTCTCTGAACAACTGGAATGAATCCTCATCCTTGTTTCTACCCATCCCCACCCCAACTCTGGAGGGACCAGAGGCACAGAGAAAATCTTGCCCAGGTTCGACAGTGTGGATGCTGATTTTTTTGTAGAAACAAGGTCTTGCCATGTTGCCCAGGCTGGTCTCAGAGTTCTGGGCTCAAGCAATCCTCCTGCCTTGACCTCCCAAAGTTCTGGGATTACAGGTGTGAGTCACCATGTCTAGCCTAAGACAGGGCTTTTTGGAGGGTGATTTTCCTGGGCTTGAGTTGTCTTTCTCTGAGTTATCTGCCAGGATCTCCTACCTAGGAGCTGGGAGTCCCAGTCCTCTCACACCAAGCTTGTTGGAGAAAGATGTTAAAAAGAGGCAGATAGAGCCAGGCTTGGTGGTTCAGCCTGTAGTCCCACGCCTTTGGGAGGCTGCGGTGAGTGGATTGCCTGAGCCAGTGGGTTCGAGACCTGTCTGGGCATCTTGGTGAGACCTCATCTCTACAATAAATAAAAAAATAAGCTGGGCGTGGTAGCACACGCCTAGTTCCAGCTACTTGGAAGGCTGAGGTGGAAGGATCGCCGGAGCCCAGCAGGTCGAGGCTGCGGTGGCTGGGAGTGGCCACTGTACTCCAGTCTGGGCGACAGAGTGAGACTCCAATTCAAAAAAAAAAAAAAAAAAAGAGGCAGATAGATCCCTTGGGAAGACTCCCCCACCCCCAGGATCCAAGATGACACCCAGTGCGACAGGCTGTGGATGTGACACACCCAACATCTCAGCAGGTGCTACTCTGAACTCCAGAAAGTTCTAATACTTGCAGGGTCTGATCTGACAGATAGGTTCAGCTCTTGTCTATCATTGCCCTAAGTCACCATGAGCAATGTTGGAGACAGGTGTGACTCAGGGAGCTTAAAATCAAGTGCACAAGAAAGGAGATTCTGGGACACTGGACTGACTCCATAAATTTCAATTTCTAGTTAGAGTGTTAGAGTATCAGAGCAATGCTCATTTATTTATTCATTCAACAAACCTTTCTTGTGTCTACTATGTGCATGAAACTGTCTCAGGAACTGGGGATGCTGCTGAGAACCAGACACCATTCCTCCTGCCTTTATCCCTTCAACTCAAAGAGCCTTCTAGTCTTATTTTCTCACTGAATAGATGGGTAAACTGAGGCCCATCAGAGGGCAGAGGAAACAGCTTACAAGTGGTCAGCGGGATGGTGGCAGAATTGGGACTAGAGCTCAGACTTCTCATTGCCATGACTCTAGGCTTAGAGAGGAGAGAAGGTCTTGTCTTAGAACATGCAGAGCAAGTGGTGAGGGTCGGATCAATGATGAGTCACTGGCTGGGGAGGAGGGGGCCACAAAGGTGCTTGATGATCACTCACTTTTTTTTAGATTGGAAAATATAGTTCATTTAGAAAGTAAATTAGAGAGAGAGAGAGAGAAAGAGAAGAGAGAGGTGATTCATATCCCCAAGGTAGGGGAGGGGACCAGAGCTAGGAAACAGGAAGACTGTAGCTCAAGGAGCCACATGGTGAGACCATAGCTTAGCAGAGCAATGGCCCACATTTTTGTTAATAAACTTTTTATTTCAGAAGAGTTTTGGGCTTACAGAAATGCTGCTGATAGAGTACAGAGAGTCTTTACATATCTCACACTCAGTTTCCTTTTTTATTCATATCTTACATTGGCATGACACGTTTGTCGGTTAATGAATCATATCGACACATTACTATTAACTGAAGTCCATCCTTTATCCAGACTTCCTTATTTTTAGCTAATGTTTACTGTCTATTTTAGACTTTGTTTTTGACCATCTTGGCAGTTTTGAGGAGTGTTGATTAGGTATTTTGTCCCATGTACCTTTTATTTTTATTATAAGTTTTTAAAGAGATGGAGTATTACTATGTTGACCAGGCTGGTCTTGAACTCGTGGCCTCAAAGGATCCTCTGGCCTTGGTCTCTCAAAGTGCTAGGATTACAGGTATGAGCCACCACACCCAACCTCATGCATCCTTTAAAAAGATACCTTTCTATTTCTATATACCAGACACATGTTAGGTAAGGAGGAGAGAGTAACAAATCATGTATAAATGGCTCCTGTTCTTCTGAAGTTTAACAATCAATAACGAAGTTCAGATAGCACCATTGCAGGGGAATTTTGGGGTGCTGCAGAAACAAACACCCATCTTTCGGTCTGTACCACAGAGGAGTCACAGCCCAAATGCACTGACTCAAAGCACAGGTCCATCTTCCATTCACCAGGGTTTAAATGTGTGACATCTCCCACCTCCAAAGC